TGGTTTCTCTTGTTACCACTTCAAAATGACGGTGTCAAATATTTGAGAGCAGTCCAGTGAATATCTTCAGTCATATAATGTACCCCATTCGGTTGTTTGAATGCACCCAAAGTTTGATGATGCCTTTGAAAGCATCAATCCATTTATTTCTTTTTATGTTTTCTGATTTGGGCGTATGATGTTTTTAAAGGTTTCATGGATTGACTATTTTTGCGAAGGATTGCAAATAACAAACTTACTGGGCTTTTCTTTTTTTCCTTTTTTTTTTATATATATATTTAGACAATGATGTATTTATTTATTGGACTCTTGCTTTGACCTTTTCTTATTGATTGTAGTGAATTTATTAGATCTACCCTATAAGAAGTTATTCTTTCAAACCTTCCCCCTATTTCAAACCCTTTGATCCATATGCAAATTCATTCATTTTGTTTTCTGTTAAAGACCCTCCCTCTTTGTGCTGTTATTTCTGACCCTAAATTCTAAGACATAGTAAAGTGCTAAGGGGGTGATTAGTAGGCGATCAAAACTAGTTTTGATTCACTATTCATCCACTCACATATTTTTAACTACTTATCACTTCCATCATCTCTCTCATACTTTTACATCAAATCAACTTTAATCATTCCATTTTAAATATTATTTAATTACAATACTTTCTCATCCCACTCAATGAACTTTATTCAAAATAACTAACTTTAACTCAAGATCTAATTTTGATCGCTTTTTACTGGTTTTGACTCCCTACCATTCGCACCCTAAGTATTACATCTGTCATCCCAACAGTGTTAATTTAATTCGGTCTTCGATTGAGATGGTTTTTGTGTTCACTCATCATTTAGTTTGGAAAAACAAGATTTGTGTCTCTTAACTTTGTTGAGCTCCTTTTGTGCTCCTATGAAGACATAACTCTTATATCTCGATGAAGCTTCCTTCCCACTAATCTCGCCATTTTCCATCGCTACTCATTTCCAAGTTTGCCAAAAATGGTTAATTTTGAAATATATATCTTTGTTTTCATCAGTACTAGTACAAATCTCGTGCGATGCACGGGTAAGAAATATTGTTTAATATTTATAAATAAAAATGCTCATTAAATAATATTTATAAATTAAAAATATGGGATTAATATGTAATACAACTTACATATATTAATTTGTTGAAAATGTTATATGAAATATAAATTGTGCAAAATTACATTATATTTGTATATTCAAAATTAGTACACGACCCGCACGGTCAAGAACCCAAAAAATAGTTATTAAAAAATAATAAAATAGAAGTTGTCGTTAATACAATTATTTGAATAATTTTGTAAAAAAAGTATTATTTAATAAATCAACCAAATTTACTCGACTGTGTAGTTAGGGAATCTTAAAAATATATATTTAATAGTGTAATTATTTCCTTAGTTATCTACAATTTGAATAATTAAATACCCATAAAACAAATAACAATTATTAAATAATATTTACATAACAACTGTCATTAACACATTTTTTTTAGAATAATTACCGCTAATTGATTATTTTATTATTTTCATAATTCTAGCAATTATTTGCAGATTATATAAATCATTTAGATTTACATAATTTGCGTAATTAAGGTATATTAAAAATGCATTTCACAAAAGAATTACATGAAAAATGTAAAATATTTATTATATAATTAATTACGCAATTTAGTTGGAAGATTGTTAAAAAATCACATAATTGATATTGCAGCCCAAATTTCCATATTTAGGTAAATCAACCAAATTCACATGATTTGAGTAATTAAGGTATTTTACAAATGGTTTTTGTATATACCATAAATAATGAGCCGCAATTTCCATAAATGATTATTTCAAATATACCATAAATTGTTAAACTAATTTCTTGAAATAGTAAATAATTTTTTTTTTTTTTTGAGGGAAATAGTTACTATTTAAAAAATAATCAAACCTTTTTATATATATATAGATCCGTTGTTAAGTGAGTGTTTGGCAGGTAGGCAGGAACACAATTTTGGGATGAAAAACTTGAAAATGAGCTGGCTGAGGGCCGTGTTAATGGAACTGCATTTGATCGGTATGTGATGTCGAAATTAGTCATTCTTTCCCCAAAATAGACAATGCTCGCCACCCTAAATTAGATATTACATGATGATTTGGTAAGTCTCCCCTGTGTCTGTCCCCCTATGTCTGGAAGAGAGAAAGAGATACCCTTTCCTCTTTTCATCTGTTATCTTTTGTATGGGCATCTCGTGAAGTTGGGGTTAATTTGGGGTTTTGGTAACTTTGCTTTGCAATTGGAGCTAATATTTGGGAATAAAATGTTGGCCTTCGCATTTGTGAAATTACATGATAACTTATAATCACATATAGATTTATTTTTCCAGTGATGTCAGATTCAACACTCTTATGATCATATGCTGTACATTTCTAGATACTGCATGGTGCTTTTTGCTGGAATTGCGGCTGAAGCTCTTGTATATGGTGAGGCTGAGGGAGGAGAGAATGATGAAAACCTATTCAGGAGCATCAGTGTACTTCTAGAACCTCCACTCTCCGTAGCCCAGGTCTTTCTCTGACACAAACTTCCTGATTCTGTGGGTAAATTAAATTGTTTGTTTCAAGTACTGGGATGTTGCAAATTAACAAAAATGGGAGTAGTGTCGGTTTTATTATGGTTTAGCATTCATCCTAGTATTTAACTTCATGATTGATTTGGTGATAATGTGAATTTGGTGGTGATGATTGATAGAAGGAGCATGCTGTTAGTGGTAATGAGTTGCATTAAGAGGTCAACCAACTTCAAGAATTGCTCTAATATGCGAATGCAATTTAATTCCTATAAAGACTCACTCTGTCACACGGCGTGAAATGTTTACTTTGGTTGCCTATTACCAAATCTTAGAATTGAAAATATCAAAAAGAAGTACCAAGAAGATAGAGAACTTTGGGGGAAAATGTAATAACTAAAATTCTCATAGGACCCGAGAAGACTGAAAGGTGAAATCTAAATACTCTAAAAAAGTTCTTTAGTAGAATAAAAGCATGAAAAAATAAGTAAATGTTTGAAAAACAAAATTGGGCTCTTACACGTACTTCTCCATGCAGAGAAGGGTCAATTGTGGTGTTTTAATTGAAGTTATATGTGCTCAAAGTTTATTTGCGCTGTGATTGAAATTCAGTAAAAGGATTTCCTTGCGAACGTTCAGTAATTGTTGTAGCTTAGTTTCACTTTGTGGTTTAGGTAAAACGCTGAAGTACCGTAATCATGCACATGTTATATGGAACTTGATATTCAAGTGATATGTACACAGATGTCTAACCAAGCCCGTTGGTCCGTACTCCAATCGCACAATCTGCTAAAGTGGCACAAACACGCCCATCGAGCCGCCGTCAAAGCTTTGGAAAAAGGAGACAGTCTAAGTGTAGTCATAAAGAGGATTGAAGAAGCCATGTCTTCTGGTAAATGATGTCAATGTTGGATTTTTTCCGTCTTTGAAGGATATGCAGAGTTATCTGGCTTATTATCAAACTGATCAAGAACTAAATGCGTCATCTTTAAATGTCTTTGTAGAAAAGATTCCACGTGACAATATATGGAGAGGGTGTTTATAGATTTTTTTTTTTTTTTTTTTTTTTTT